TCTTAAGAAATGATTCATTTGGTCTATTCTGCCTGCTTCTGGGTGCAATTTGTTTGTGACTCGTCTGAATCTCCATTCTGTGTGAAGGCAGACAGGAATGGTTAGCCCTCTGGAGGGATGCGTGCCGGTCAAGATTACTTCAGGCTTCGTGTCTGTTAGACTGATAACAGAGGGAAGGTTTTGTTTTGATAATTCTGCAATGTTACATTGAAAGGGAGCCTTAACTCTATTTTCTAAATTAAGAAGCTAATACAGGCATTAAAGCTGGGTGAACTAGGCTGGTGTTGCACTTAACATATAATCTAATGGAAACTTCATGGAAAGGATGGGTTGCTTACAGAAACAGTAATGTCTCTGAAATGTGCTGTTTTTTTCTGAACAGGCCTGTTAGACATCAGTCCAGATACTTCTAGAGATGACTGAATTGCTGTACTGTTGTTCAGTCTCTTAAATAGATGCATCTAATATTACAAAACTGCTTCTGCAGACCTCTGCTATGAGAACTGCAGCATCTGCGAGATGGGGTGCATACAGTGGTTGCTCTGAAAGTAATGCCTCCTCTTTTATGTTCACCCATGATGTCAGAGGCAGATGTTGTTGGTATAGCGGAAGAGGTTGAACTTTCCCACCGATATTCCTTTCCATGTTGTTGCTGTGTGACAGATGGCAGCAGAGGGACAGAATGGTGTCTGACACAGCAGAGTGTATAAAGCAGAGATGTGGAATGGAATTCCTCCATGATGGAATAACGACACCCACTGAGATTCGTTGATGCTTGCTGAGTATTTCTGGAGGCTGAACAGTGAATGCGAGCACAGTGAGGTGATGGGTGGTGTGTTTTAGCAGTGGTGACAATGACATGAAAAATGACATGAAAAACAAGCCACATTCTGGATGGCCACGCACAGCTGTCATACCACAAAATGAAGAGCATCTCATTCAGCTCACCTGCACAAATCAGCTAATGGTGGTGACTGTGTTGAAACAGTGTTTTATAGCTGAGATTTGTTCTATCAAATAGTGTTATTGTGCTTTGTGCCCTCTTTCTTGCTCCTAAAGTACTTCCAAAATTCTTCCTCTAGTGAGAAACTGAGGAAAAAATTACTTCTTGTCAGGATAATGGTGGCACTAAAAGCAAAATCAGTGGAAAGTATAAACATAACAACTGTGTTATCTTAATTAGAATACTTACATTGTAACCAAGCTTTGTATGTGTATGTACCATCAGGGTTTTGTCTCTGTTTCCTAGTAGCAAACCATTTTTACTTTAGTATGTCTAGCAAGCTCGTGTTCAGATGTGGGAGCTTCAGCTCTGAGCGTTTGTTTTAAAAGCACAGAATTAAAAGTTAGTCTTTTACTGAGCCTTTATGTTAAACTACTAATGAATCTATGTTAATTTCAGCTAATGAGAATGCAGCATTAATAAATATAGTTTAATTTCCATTTCTGTAAGCTTTTATCCTATTGATTACTGTCTGATGTATTTTTCTGTGGCTTAAGCATAACTGATTTTTTGCTGCAATAATGTTGGCAGGTTAATGTTTATGGGTTATAAACATTTAGTTTGTACAAACATTGCTGCAAATGTGCCAAGTGAACAACATACTTATGTATAAATCTTAGAGCTGAGTGTTGTAGATACTTAAATTCAGACAAATTACATTCTCTTACATCTGGCTGGCTTTGCTTTCTGCCCTCTGCAAGCATGGAACCTTCTTAAATTTGGAACAAATGCTAAACTAAAATGAGCCTTTTTTTTTTTTTTTGGTCAGTCATCCTTGCTTCTTCCAGTACTGAAGTTCTGGTTTTTGCCATGCAGTAAGAAAGCTCTGTGTTGTGTGAACACAAATACAGGTATCTTTGAATCTGGACACTTTAAAGAAGGGTCTCTCTTAAAGCCACGTCTCCTCAGAGACCTGTTTTGTGGCTTGAGTCAGACTTGTAGGTTGTGATGAATTCTTCTGAATGGAGGTTTAAATCTTGAGGTTAATATTTAGGCAAGAAGAAGTCTGTAAGAAGTTGAGCATAGTTTATGGTGCTGATAGCTTATATAGAAGGTTCTCAAACTCTTAAAGTAGGTCAGCTTAAGATATTAATTTAGGATGGATTATGGGCAAAACCAGATTTGTGTGGATGATTAGTGTCCTACTAGAAATTTTAAATGTGTTTTTTATTTATAAATAAAAAGTCTGGTTAGAGTGGTTTGTTTGTTTGTTTTAATCACAGAATGGCTTAGGTTTAAAGGGACCTTAACAACCACCCAGTTCCAAATTTTGCCATGTGCTAGGTTGCTACCTACTAGATCAGGTGCCCATGGCCCCCTCCAGCCTGGACTTCAACTCCTCCAAGGATGGGCACCCACAGCCTCTCTGGGCAGACTGTGCCAGTGCCTCACTGCTCTCCGAGCAAGGAATTGCTTCAAAACAGCTAACCCAAATCTCTCCTCTTTTAGTCCTGTCACTGTCAGACAGTATAAAAAGTTGTTCTCTCCCTTGTGAAAGCCACCTTCAAGTTGTGGAAGGATGCAGTGGAATCTCTGTAGAGCCTTCTCCATGCTGAACAACCCCAGCTTTCTCATCCCCTCTCCATAGAAGAGGTGTTCCACTCTTCTGGTAAGGACTCCAGGCCCAGGTGGGGCCTCTCTAGGGCAATATAGAGGACAATCCCCTCCTTCTCCCTGCTAGGCACACCTCTTCTGATGCAGCCCAGGATATGGTTGGCTTTCTGGGCTGTGGCTGCTGACTCATGTCCAACTTTTCATCTGCAGAAGCCCCTAAGCCTCTCTAAAGGGCTGCTCTCAGTAAGTTCAGAATGTGCCATGCAGGCCATGCATGTAGCCTGTTTAAGGATTTAGATCAGTGGTTTGGGGTGCAGCTTCTGTCACCTTATATTACCGAAGAACTATAATAAAGCATTATATGGAAACAGTTGTGTTCAATAGCAGCCTAAATGAACAGGGGCAGGACAAAAAGCTTCACATAAACCAACATTATTGATCTGAGTAAGGATAAACCCGGAAATGTTTGGAGAAGAGTGAGAAGAATGTCAAAGTCTATGAACTGACCTCCGTAAAAGGAATCACAAACTCAGACTTGAACAAGGTAGAGCTGAAGCTAGGAAGGAACCTAAATCTGTGAGTTGCTTCCAGCAGAGGTAGAGTATGGTAGTTCTTGTTTTGAGGCAGATGGTGAGTGTGAAGGTGCACAACTTATCAGGAGACCAAATACAAACAAGTGGTTCTTCTCAAAGCACACATGTATTTGACAGCTTAACTAGCTTGCTGTAGGGTGTTTGTGATACTAAAAATTGACATAGTTTTATAGAGTACTGACTTGATTTCATCTGGATGGAATCCACCAGATGTTATTAATACCTGTAAAGAAGGTTCTGAATCTGCTGGAGATAAGTAGGGTTTCATTATTTATTGCTGTTTGCTTTTGTCCCGTGTTCTTCCCTTTGTGTCTCCTAATGGTTACTTACCAGGTAGGAAGCAATTCAAGATGGGTCTTTAGCAGCATGCCATCATCTAGTTTTGTACTTTCTGGAGTAAGGATGGGATGTATAATGTGATTGAGTTGATGGCAATAGAGGAAATTCTGTAAGACTAGCAGTGTGGTGTTGAGGAGCAGATATTGCCACCCTACTGAAGCTTCAATCCCTTAAAGCTTTTCTGTATAATAATCCTTGGTGCACAGTTTTAATACTGTGAAAGGCAAGTACTGAATTGGAAAGATTTGTTATTGGAAAAAGTATGGAGTCAATTTCCCAGACCCAGCAATCTTCACCTGATACAAAATTGTCCAAACTGGGGAAGTATTCTGTGCCTTGCTGTCTCAGTGCAGTAGAAAACTGCCTGCTGAGTGGTTCCCTTGGGTGTGAACAGAAGAGTTGCTTGAAGCATTAGTTTTAAATCAAACCAAGAAAAACCTCATCTCTTCGGTCTCCTCTCAGATGCCTCTTCAGTGTTTGTTTTCCTCGGCTACATTTGCTTCCTTGCTACTGTCTTTCCTGTTGATCCAACGTTACCTCCCATGTATGTGGTCATAAAGTAGACTGAGAAGAAACGTGTGTTTCTTGACTTGTAGGCATCCTTACCAAATGGAATATGGATTTGAGTTTGGGTTGCTCATCTGTGCTTTATGTCTTGCAAGATGGGACATGTCAATGTAGTACTTCACCTTTCTGCATATGTAAGAATAGACTGACTGTGATTTGAGTATTTGATGCCTCTTAGAGGTGGTGCTTGGGGAATTACTTGAAAATAGATTCATTGTTGTTGTTTTCCACTGGGAGGATTTAAATGACCATCCTCCGAATATGCTAGGAAACTGCTTTGGTTTTCACTATTGCTCTTAAGTTCTAGCTGTGTTATTGTAGTTTATGGATGCGTAATATCCACCTGTACCTTGAATAATCAAATCCAAAAAGAGAAAACAATCTTTAACAGAAAACTCATTTGTTATTTCAGCACTGCATTTTGATGCTATGGTATCTGTAAGTGAAATAGTTGTTTTTGGAAGAATGTCTGAAGTAGAGTGCTTCAGAGCTGAATAAAGAGGTCCAGTAGCACAAAATCAATCAAGTTTTGTTCTTTTTAAAGCTTGATTAATATTCCTCCCAAAACAAACACCAGAGAATAACAACAAATACTTCATGTTTATGTAATCATTGCACTTTGTTCCTTGGTTACGTTTTGAGCTTTCAAAAGTTGATTGATTCCATTCAAATTTTACAGGGGTGGAGGTGCTAAACTGCATTCCTGCTGACTTTATGGAAGTAGACAGCTGGATAGAGAAGAGGTTATACCATGATTCCAGCTGGGAGAAGCAGTAAGGTGAGCTTGTTAAGCATCAGACAATCCTCATAGGACCCCAAGCTTGTAATGGAGTACATAGGAAATCAAGTTCATTAGTTTACTGCCTGTGAAATAACTTGTGTAGCAGGGAGTGTTTTTAATTTAATGCTTATGTTTCTGACTTGAGAATAGCTAATGTCAGGAGATGTTTGCTTGCCAGCTTCCTTTTCAGAGCTTTTCTTTTTGAAGTTTTGTTTTGAAACTGAGAAAATGTATTCTAAAGAAGAGAATATATTACAAAGAGCTGTTTTCTGTTTCATTGAGCTGGCGGTAAGCCATCTAGTTTTCATATTTCTAGGTGCTTTGTGCTTGAAGCGGGATGAATGGCTAGCTTTTTGATAACTACAGATGGTTAAACTCCAATCTAAGTTACAAGTACAAGAAAAAGTTTTTTTGGAGTGTTTTACATGTGAAATAAAATAAAAATAAGGCATGAGACCTAAAACAGGTTTGAATGTGAACGTTCTGTAAAATGGACCTTACCTCTTGAAACGTGTGCTGGATTTAGTTGTAAGCAGGAATTCGGTACAAGCTGAACCTCCTGTGGTGTCTCTGCTTCCTTTCTATTCTTATTGACTTATTGCCAGGGCTGCTGAATACACAAACTTTTTATCACCAGTTTTCATAACTCTAGTCAAAATATTTAACCAAACTTTTTTTTGTAAGCCACATGTTTTAATTTCAGCCTATAAAGCTTTGTTAATTTGTGGTAATTACAGGATTAGTCGATAGTACTTAAACTCACATGTAACAAAATGAAATCCTGTGTGTCAGTTTGTTTAACATGCTGCAACATGAAAGAATAAACTGAAATCTAAGGTAAATCAAATGTTTTCATGTAAATGCCCACCTGATTTCTGGCCAATAAAATAGCCAGAAAAGTTGCAGATTCTGGCTCTGTCAGTTTTAGCAGACCTTGTAGCACTGATGCCTTCATATGTTTCTTACAAGAACACGAATGCCACGCAGCTTTGGTGAAATCTTTGTTAATGCACTGCTGAAATTCACTCTCTTCAACCATACTGGTAATGTGGCTTCAGAAATGTATTAGTCAGTGTGGTATAACTTACCAAACTCCTTGCAAAAACTCCTCAAGATCTTGTAAGTAATCTGTAACAGCATGCCTGTGTGACTTCAAAATCACTACAGGATAATGGTTTTGCTTACTTTCATACAAATATATAACCTTGTCTCTATTTTTTCAGGCGTGCTTGGCAGTGATGATGGACTATTTATTTGCAACGGATACTCTTCTATGAAAAGATCACAGTTCCAAAGAGCTTGAGCATTATTTCATCTTCTGAAACAGAATGGCAGGCTTCAAACGAGGATACGATGGAAAAATTGCAGGATTGTATGACTTGGATAAGACTTTGGGCAGAGGACATTTTGCTGTGGTCAAACTTGCTCGACATGTCTTCACAGGTGAAAAAGTAGCAGTAAAAGTAATTGACAAGACCAAACTGGATACTCTAGCTACTGGACATCTTTTTCAAGAAGTTAGATGCATGAAACTAGTGCAGCATCCCAATATTGTACGGCTGTATGAAGTGATTGACACCCAGACTAAGCTTTATCTCATCTTAGAACTAGGTGATGGAGGGGATATGTTTGATTACATCATGAAGCACGAAGAAGGTCTGAATGAGGATCTGGCAAAAAAGTACTTTGCTCAAATAGTCCACGCTATATCATACTGCCACAAACTGCATGTAGTTCACAGAGACTTAAAGCCAGAGAATGTGGTCTTCTTTGAAAAACAAGGACTTGTGAAATTAACTGATTTTGGCTTCAGCAACAAATTTCAGCCTGGAAAAAAACTCACCACGAGCTGTGGATCTCTCGCGTATTCTGCTCCTGAAATTTTACTTGGGGATGAATATGATGCACCAGCAGTGGGTACGTCCTCTTTGAATTCTACAACTGATCTCAATGTGAAGCACCATGATGTTGTACCACTCTGTTTTCTGTTTCAATATAATGCCATATGTGGAAGCCAGCTAATTGGCAGGAAATGTTATCGTGCTGCTAAAGTTACAGATGACTTAGCGTTGGAGCATCTCTATCTGAAAAAGTTAATGAAATTTTTTTAATGTGTGTGTGTTGTTTAAAAAAAAAAAACAACAACCAAACAACACCAAACTTTAACATTAATAGTAAGGTGAATGCAGTATATTGATGCAAACATACATTTGAACTTGCTTTGTTCAAGGACATTACCTCCTTTTCAGGAAAGTACCTGTTCTTAATTTCTTTTGTTTAAATCCCCAAAGCTATTGATTATTTCTTGTTTAGTTTAGCCATCTGAGAATGACCCTGTGAGTTCATGCTACTTAGGTGTTCTGCTGTTAGGTGGTAGGAATCCATTTTAGTATGTATGTACTTAGCTTGCAAATGAAACAAAAAATTAAGAGCAGCATTAACTCTTTGTTACCTCTTTGCTCTTTTCTTGTTTGAGAACTGAAAGTAGGGAGTAAGTTCCCAGTTGATTCCCATTCTAAAAGATATGAGTATTAGCCATGTGTAAGTTGGTCTTCATGTTGCACCTGGATGGCTCAGTGTGCTAGACTATTGTCTGCTATCAGGATTTGTCTTACTATTCTTTTAGGCCTCTTGTATGTGCTATTAGAAGTAGGTTTGTTTTTTTTAAATATAGACAATAGCAAATACTGTCATGTGGCCATATCTGTTAGCTGAAGTAGCATTAACCACACATTCAGGCACATAACATTTCCAATGACTTAACGTAGCTGCATTATTTCTTGTCCTTGTGTGCCTGTTATGTGATGCTTCTAGTCTCTTTAATACTGGTGAGGGTTGGGTACACCACTGTGGCTGTATTTTGCTGTGCTTAACGTGTGGTGGTTTAAATTCTGAGACTTTCAACATGTCCAAGTCTTGCTAAGCTAGCTGATGAAGGGTAAGATATTCTTATAGCCTGACAAGATATTTCTGCACACTGTTGAACTACTATTCTTGCCTTTTAAAAAATATAAATGATTAGCTCTTTTTTTCTTTAGAGGAAGGGATAAATTGGACTGTGCAACCAGCAGGTGGGAACAGTGAGGACGGGGACTTGAGAGGAATGGGAGTTAGAAGATATGCTTGTGGTTCTTGGAGGTCTGAACATTGGAGATGCTGCTTTTAAGTGGTCATCTCCAGGTTTCTGTTTGTGGCCTTAAGACTCTTCTTGCTGCGTTTCATATTCTGTGATAAGTAGTTGTTTTTTTTCTCACTGCAGTTTTAAAACTTAGAAAAGTAGTGAATAAATAGTAACTGCAGTGGTGCTTCTTGGTGGCTGCACTTCACTCAGCATTAGAAGCAGACTTAAGCTTTGTTGGAATGTAAGCTAGCGCAGTACAAATATTACATGCAGCTCTTGTGAGGGTCACTTCTAGAAATGTCACAGTGTAAATTCTGTGCAATGCTGTATTTTAGGACATTGCTAGAAATGGAGAAACACTGTTTGTCTGAGAGTCATCTTTTTGGGACTTGGCCTTGAGAGATGCCTTTCTATGTCTCGGAGAGTTTAAATCTGCCTTGAGTCCAAAAGCTTTGACCAGATAGTCTGAATTAAATGATATGTTAATAAAGCACACTTTGACCTCTTATTGTTTCAGTGTAAGAATGGTGACATCATAGAAAACAGTTCTTACAGTAATTTATAAGCAGTTTGATCAAATGATAGCAGCAGAAGAAAATGATTGAACTGATTCATAGAGGAGGAGATGTCTAGCAGTCTGACTTACTGTGCACTGTTGTGAACAGCAGAAAAACTTAGCTGAAAATGAACTTCTTCTAGAGTAATTTAAGGGTGCTAGTTAATCTGTATGTCCCAGGATATTTAAATACATGCAGGGGTCAGTTTTTGCTTGCTCCCCAGAGTGCAGTGCCAGTTACTGGATCCTCTAAACTTGTCAGCAAATTGCAGGGCTACTATTCTAACTTCTTTAGTGACAAAACCAAAGCACTGTACTTGCACACTACACTTGCATTTGTCTGACATCATATTTAAAAAAAAAAAAACAACTCACTGCATGGGTTTTGTTGTGAGGCTTGTGACAAAATGCCATGTCCGATGTCTTAATCATATTAGAAAGACTGTAAGGGAAAATACCATTTATGTTTTGTTGCTGCAAAGAGCTGAAATATTCGGGGCAAGCCTTTTACTAAGTTATATGCTTTAAAATTATGGAAAAGCTTGCTTTATGAAATGTAACTGTTTCAGCTAGCTTAGAGATTAATCTGTCCTTTGTGATGCTACTTAAAAGCTTTCACACTTGAAAAGAGACTACCTATTTTAGCTCTGTCATTTCCTTTTGTGTTGAAGGCCGTAGTTAAAATGATGCAAGAAGAGCATTAGACAAGGATCATATGTTCTCAGGGCTTTTCAGAATCTGAGTTAGGAAGTTCTGTTGCTTGGAGTTCTCCGTGTTCTCACAACTTAAAATTTTGTTCTGGTCAGACTGTGAGACTGGGGCTGTTTATTTAGCACTATTGAGCACAGGCCTCTGAAATGGTACTGTGATACACAAATTATGGTGATAAATTAGAGATGGGGCCTCCAGTATAGCAGTCTGTCCTCGCAGCGGTGCAAAGGGGATAGTGGGAGCTGCTCATGAAAACATGACTAAGGATATTACTGTTACTGAAACTCAGTGCTGTTGGACCGGCAGCTCCGAGTCCGAATCCATTTTGCTGCCTTCTGTCAAGTTGCAGGAGCCAGCTGCGTTGCTTTCAGACCCACTTTGTCACTGCTGGAGGGATCTTGGGCTCTTCTGCTTTTTGCTTTTTTTCTGCATCAAGGATTTGCAAGGGCTTTATTTTATTTGCATTTGGTGCTGCTGGAGTGGGTGGCCATTCAAAGCTTCAGCCAGGTTTGCCCTGTGTTTGGGCACTGCTGAGCATGCAGCTGACCTTATCTGACCTGCACGAAGCTCGTTCTGACGTTTCTGCCTGCATACAGCACTTTATTCACCATGTAAATGACTGATGTAAGCATCATGGCCAGTGGCTATTTACAGTGACCTTTTACCTTATGAGAATGCTGAATATAAGATTTGACAGGCTTGGCTAAAGGGGAAAAAAATAGTACGATGTTTGTAAGCCATATATGGTGTTGAATTACCTTTTGAATTCTAGTAGGTTCAAAATTGGATTGCAGCCAAACACCATAGAAGTAAAACAGAGGTGAGGCAAATAATCCTTCAGCAGTTTTTTAATGACTGTTTTCTTTTCCAAAACTCCTTTTTTAATGTTACACTGCATCACTTTTGGGCAGTTGGGTGTATTACATGGTGAGTCTGAAGATTTGAGGGTGCAGAAAGCTAAAATAGCACGGTACGTAGCTGCTTCCAGCGTGTGGTTTTGCCCTTCCATTTTGCTTGCATCAGTGCAGAGCTACCCCTTCTTGTGTGCTACACTCTGTTGCGTGGCTGCCTATTTGATGAGCTGATCTGATGAGTTAATTTGACAGAAGGCTATTAATTTTTCTACAGGCTTAACTTCTGCCAGGTTAGCAAACAGAGCTGTTTGCTTATTTAGTTTTGAGCTGGTGCTGAGGAAGTGATGGGAGCTTGCGGCTTGCACCAGTGTTCTGGGGGAAGGTGATAAGATGTGCCCTTTTTTGCAAGAAGCAGTTCAGGTTAGAACAGCTCAGCCTGGCTCGTTTGTCTTCACCTTCCATGCGAGAGAAGCTCATTTGGCTGAAAATGACAGTCATTCATCAAGTGGCATTAACAAAAAATATTGAATGGTCTGTGCCAGTATCCAAGTGAAAATACAGGGGGCAAGCTGTCGGGATAGACTTTGGTTACTAACCTATCTACTAAACCCTAACTTGAGTGCAGAGATGCCGTTAGCATCCTGCCATGTTCACATGTGAACTGTTTTCACTATATTTCAAACTGCTGTGGAGAAAGTATTCATCATAATGGACTCCATGTGCATAGGATAAGAAGCTTCACTTTGTGTGCCTTACAAACAACTACTCCAATTACTTACATTCAGCCATCAACTAATTTGGTAACACAGATCTGGCGGACCTAAATAGATAGTTTTGCAAATGTGGCTAAGCAACAGAAACCAAAAGAGAAAGAATGCATTTCTAAGTGCAGGATTGACAAATCAGAGTAAAGAAGGCTATTCTAGATTGAGGGCAGTGTTCAGTAAAAGTTGAAGGTGTGGGTTTTCTTGATTTGTTCATAAAGAGCGTCAACAGTTTGTCTATAATAGTTTCATGCAATCAGCAAAAGCCAGGCAATTATCTTGAGGGGAAAAGTAAGCAATAGTTGCCAAACTGAATGAAAATAGAAGTGCTTTCCAAAGATAAGAATAGTTGCTGATGAGCATGTCTTAGTCAAATAAAGGAACATATAGAACAGACTGTTTCATCAGACAGATAAACTAATTATGAAAATAATTTGCTAAATGCCATTTGCTATTTTGCTCTTTTTTTTTTTTTTTTTTTTTTAAGAGATAGGGGAAGGAAGAGATTTCTCTTAATTCTCTTGTCTGTGTGTTCTAATAGTCATTTTAATTGGATTTGCAGAGCTTTAAAGCAAGAACAGCCAGTCCTGCGTGTAAATTCTGATGGTGTTGTCATTGATTGCAAAAGATCTCTGCCTCAGTCTTCTGCAAGGGAGCAGTGAATCCCATTTTACAAAAACTTTAGAAATGTTGTCACCAGACAGCAGCATCTCTGGCAAGTGGAGATGTCTGTATGCAAGCTTACTGGAAGTCATGGGATGCTAAAGAACAGAAAAAGGGTTCAATCACTCAAAGATCACATTTTTGGTAGCAATTCTATTTTGTTCCTTACCCATGCTCTTCAGATTTACAGCTGGCCCAGAGTCGTCGTCATCATCCAGGCTCGTCAGCAGTGTGCATATAGTAGTGTACAACTACCTGTGATGCATACAAACATTGATACTGCTAACACAAGGTTACTCTATACTGTCTTGTTTCTGTTTTTTTTTTTTTTTTCTATGCCAGGGATGGCATCTTCTAAGCTTCTTGTCTGCAGAGGGTCGGTGTACTTACCTTCTGAAGCACAAACATATCACCAATGTAACACGCCCCCTGAAGCACTGATCAGTATGAGACCAGCTTTTCTTTTTTACTGCGGTTACGTAGGTTTTCATTAAGTGCATAAAAATCTTCCTGCAGTGTTTTCATACGGATTTGTACTCAAGCTGTGTTCTGACTCTTCAGACAGTTGTGTGAAGTTTTCTACAAATTGGAGTTTTCATTGTTTTCCATAGTCTGTGCTGTGAAGAAAACAGATATGAACTAGTAGCAAGCATCCTTGTCACCAGTACCATTGTGAGTTGTGAGCCTGGACTTTACTCCTGAGCCCAGGGCAAGTTCCACTCCTAAATTCCTGTCCTGTTCAGGATGGGTGTTTGTGCCTACCTTGGAACAGCCTTGAGATACTGCTCAGTTGCTGCCTTCAAGAATGCAAAGACGTGGGTGATTTTTACATTAAAATTTCCACATTTAGCTCTGCACAGAAGAACTTGATGTTGAAAGAGACTCAACATTCAGCATTCAGGCCTCATCTTCAGGAGGTCCCCTTGAAATCTGCTTTCTTCACAGTGCTCTGAAGAGGCTGTGGCAGTGACATTCTCTTTAATATCTTAACACAGTGATTGGAATAATTGCCCGTGATGCTGCCAGTCGGGGCCCATTTCCATCCTTCATTGATCCCATCTGGTACCTTTGCAGTGGTAAAAACAAACATGTACACATTCTTATCTCCATATAAGTTGATTTTTTTCTTTTTTTTTTTACACTTGAGTTTAGTGGCTTGTCATGCAGGATAGTTGACATTCAGCTGTCTCTTACACGCTTCTCACTGGAATGTTTACTCTAAAACCTGACTAAATGTATGTTTTCTGCAGAAAGATATGTCTTACCAACAGAAAAGCATATGCAGTGCATACTGCTCAGCAGTTCTACTTCTGCTAGGAGGAAAAATTACTTATTCCCATGAATTTCTCAAATAAACCCTTTTATTAATGGGACTCAATTTATGTAGCTAAAGCAAATGTGTCTATTGCAAAAAGGAGTATAGATTTTTAGCTTATAATCACAAGTTATAAGTAGCACATATAAAATGTGATAGGTGTGTGACTTGCAAGGGCTGGCAAATGTTTGGGCAAGCCTCTCATACTGAAGTTACCATGCCACAAAAATAAAGCTTTCTGAAATCCACAATTCTTGTCTTAGAATTAAGTGATGAACTCTAGAAAGCCATAAATGCCTAACGAGACGAAGCCCAGTTCAGCAGTTAAGCTGATGATTGTGGATACAGCTTGTGCTGCTTACAAACTTGAGCAGAACAGATGCTTGAGTGCCCTGTGTTGAAGGCAGGCATAGCACAGGCAGCTGGTGACGTCCTTTGGTTTCCATGGCAGTGACTTCATGTTATGTAAGGAAGTTGCGTATACACAGCCCTGGTTGTCATGGCTCTGGGAATCCTGCTCCAGCAGCCCTTTCCTGAGCAACAGCATTTAGTGGCTTTAAAGGCAATGAAATGTCCTCTGGTGCAGTTGGCTAGCTAATGCTTTTAGAGTCTAACCTCTCATTTTATTCAGGACACAACAGTGGTGACTTCAAGTCAGTAGCACTCAATGCAAATGATAAGATGAAGATCTTTGCTGTGCTTTTGAAAGAGTCAGCTTTTGGCTGCTGCAGCATAATGAGAGTACTGTGTGCTGCCTTTCAGTACACTAATAGGAAGCTTTACGTCTAAGTATGTTAAAGCATGCAGCACCCCAGGCCTAAATTCTTTTTTTGCAACAATTTTCTGGAGAGGGTAAATTGGATAACATTTGGAGAAGAGGGAAGTAAGCAAGCTCGATGAAGCTTTACTAAGAATAATAGAAAAACTTTAAGTTGTGTAAAAGATAAATGTTTGTATTGGCTCATCTGAAGTTGGGTTTCTGTAACCCTTCTTTTCCCTGTGTTCTTTGCTTAAGATTCTCAAGTCTGAAACTGGCACCTGAGTTCCAGGCTGTGAAAAGGAAATGTGAGCTGCAGACATACATTGATTCCTTGGCCCAAGCCAAGGAACTGTGCTTTCAAAAAACCCAGCTCATGTATTTGGTTAACTTATTGCAATATTGAAAAGTTCTGTCCAAAGCCTGATTATTATTTTTTTTCAGGGGGGTCTTATTCTGCTTTCAGCTCCTTGCTGGTGCAGCCCTGTTGTGAACCAGCACCATTCTGTGGTTTCTAATTGCTTTTACGTGCATTTCTGCACCTTTCTAATAACGTATAAAAATAAGGTCTTTCAGCCTGGGCTTTTCCTCTGTGTTGACCCAAGTTAAGAACATACATGTTTTATAAAGAAGGCAACCTTTATGGTATGTGGTTTTTTGAAAGTGTGTGATATAAAACAAAAACAAAACCAACAAGAAGAACAAAACCAAGAAACTCTGTACCTGAAAACTTGGAGTTATTTTTCTTCCCCCTTCCCCCAGTTATTAGCTGGTCTAATAAGAGGTGTTCTTTCCAGAAACATTGCTGTGCTGAGATGCCAGGCCCTTATTTCACTGCTGCCACAACATCTTTCTAATCTGTACATACAGCTGCCTTGGCAGAGCTGATGCCTCTGACAAAGCAGAGCGCTGGCTCCTGACTGAAGCTTTCACTCAGTTTTGATGTTTCCCTCCTTTTGCAAAAGCACAAGAACACTCTTGGAGCTGTAGGAGTAAGGATCGGGCTGCGTTGCCTGCTCTGCAAGTGGAAGAGGTCTCCCTGGCAGAAGGAACTGATCTGCTTTGGCTACACCTGCAGTGTGAGCAGAAATCGGCAGGGTACAGCGTAAGAAAGGACAGCATGTAGCAGTAAGTCTTCGCAGTGGCACTCAATCGGTTGAGTTCATCTCAATCTCCATCTTCCTTAGGATCCAGAGAACAGACAAGTTTTCTCATAATTATAGAAATACATAATAGAACAGCTCTGATTACGGCAACAGAAAGCAATAAGGCAGAGAACGTTTCTGTTGTGTGGGGAATTATGCTGTAAACAGACTCTGTAATAAAATAACCTCTAATTCTGAGCTTAGTAATGTCTCAAAGACAACCACTCCTCAAATTCTTAACTGCAGGTACTGTTTTGGAAACAGAGTTTTCCAAAATGTGATACGGTACTACGCTAAGTGGGAGACCAAAAGCCCATCTCTCTAAAAGAAGAAAGCATTTCCATTCTTTCCTAAAGTTTGTGCTCTATGTTTTCTGAAGTTGACAGAAAAAAATTTCATCTATGGATCTCCAATAGAAAAAAGCAGAGAACACATTTGTTGATTATTATTATTTTTTTTTTTTGCATTCTTGAATGGCTTAAGATGAATTATAAATGGTAGTATTTCTCAAAGATCAAATATGTGCTGAATCTTCTAAAACTTGATGGAATTTAATAATATTTGGGAATTGAATGCGTTAAAGATTTAGAGAACTTCAATACTGAGTCAGGCTGAAAATGAGGAGAGGAAAACATTCAAACTTCATCATGTGTTGGGATGGTAATGGGCTCACTTAACTTTAAAAGAGATACTTGCAGCTAAGATTTCTAGCCCTCAGCTGCAAATGGCTTTAAGACGTAAAATAAAACTCTTGTAATATTGCAGAACATGCAGGAATTTCTTTTGTCTTTTCAGGAAACGTAAACGTAGGGAGATCTGCCACTAAAAATCCCATTGTTCAGTTAAATCCAGTGTTAGGTTGTAATAACAAGATACTGCTATTACACTGCTTTGCATGCAGCATTTGTCTGAATTCGTGGGATAGGCTGAAATACCGTGGAATAGTCCAGTTCTTTACAAAGCGTTTCTGTGCCTCCCTTGCTATTGCAAGGTTTGTGTATTTCAAACAAACACATTTTGAAACTTAGTTCTACGTTTCCTGTTTTCTAGCAGTTTTTTTACCACTTCCTTCACACTTGAAATCGTCCTTTTTACACGGATGGTGACTTGACTTCACAGCAGAGATACAACCCTGTGCTGGCTCAGATGGAGCGTTGAAGTTCAGCACGCTCATGCTATCAGTATTATTATAGTTCTTGCTTTTCTTGAATAAACACCTGCCTGTGCTGTTCTAGATGGGCAGAAGGAAGCTGTTGATGCAGTGAGGGGCTTAATGTGCTGAGTTTGGCTTAGGCCTTACAGGATCATCTCCCTCCACCTGCTGTTAGCACTCCTTCTCATTATTGTGACTAATGATTACTGAGATCAAGTTTTTTAATAAGACCTATAGAACGTTGCCTGAAATACTGAGTGTCAGAAGACAGAATGAGATTGGCCAGCCTTCTGTGTTTACAGTCAAAAAAGAATATGGATTAAACTTCTGCATCAATCTGTTACTCAAGATCTGTAGTCTGAGCTCAGGTCGTTTCTGAATAGGACAAATGCTGCAGGAAGGTTCACTAAATACACTGTCAGCGTTTCTTAGCAAAAGAATCAAAACCCTTAATCCTTTTCCAGATATGCACTCCAGATAGTGGGGCTCCAGCAACACGTTTGCTTCCCATTGTGTCTCTGCCATGATAACAGTGTGCAGTAGATCAGAAAGAGAACGTTACTGAAGATGCTGCCTCATTCTTCAAAGTAGTTGGCTGGTTTGGCTGTAGTTGCACATAGTGTTTCACAGAAATAACTGCATCTAGTTTAAATTGATGCAGAGAACAGGCTAGGACATCTTATTGAAGAGACTGCCTATGGAGGGGCAGAACTCTTGAATACATCTTCTCAATACATCTGCAGCCATCCAGGCACTTGGCTCTGCTTCTGTAGCTGAGGGGAGATGCTTTCTATAATGTGATGCTGGAGAGTTTGTGAAGGTGACCTCAAGGTGGTGTTTGATGTGGCTTAAGGTCTGTGCAAAAATAAGGAGGGAACACGTTAAGTCTTTCCACGTGGAGATGAGAATTATTTAGGCACGCTATTTCATTGCGTTCTCTTCTTCCTGGTTATTAGTGTACTTTTGGATCTGCTTAAGCATGTCTGAGCTATTTCTGACAGCAGGAATTTTAGTAGCCATGAGTATAGATGCAATGAAGTTCTTTGGCCACAGCTATAAAAATAAGTTGTGTGCAAAAGTTATGCAATTGCTTCTGCATGTGGCCACTTCTTGGCCACAATAGATGAGTGTCTGATGAGGCCAACAAAATATGTATTTGTTAGGAAAAAGCATAAGTTTTGTCTGTATTGTGTGAGAATGAGGTCACTGCTGACCCAGTGTCCTTCACTGAGAGCACAAAATACCTTAGATAATATGTCTAGATGAAGCAGAAAGTTTTAAGCACCGTTTTTAGTTCATAGTTTCTTCCATACACGCAGTGCCTTTTCAATAACACAGCACATCATACACTGTACCAAAGACTGTAGGAGAGACTGAATATGAGGTGCAAAATACAGTAGCTAATGAAAGAGATACAAAATTCTCATACGTGATTAATGATTACTCTTATTTGTTTATGCAAATAGTATGTTAATGTATAAACTACACAGAATCATAGAATCTCCAAGGTTGGGAAAATCTTCCAAGATCACCCAGTCCAACCATCTGCCTCTCACCAGTACCTCCCACTAAACCACAGCTCTTGGTACAGCATCTGAACACTTATTTCTTTGCATATAGAGAATGAGTTGAATTCTGCTTCTAGACTTCCTGATTCTTTACAAGTACCTGGATGTACGTGTTTCAATTTTCCAGAAGTTACTTAAGCAGTATTTATCATCACATATCCTTGCAAACCCAAATTTTAGAAAGAATGTATATATCCAATAAAAGCCAACCACACAGCTGGTGCAGTGTGCTGTGTCACTGTTCTGTGTGCTGAGCAGAGCATGGCTTGGACGCTGCTGTCTAAAGGAGAACACTGAGGGGTGCTCAGTATGTACTCACTGTGAGCCGAGCCGCTCGGAAGTCGGCTGGAGTTTCCTCTGTGTGGTTCTGTGGCACTTTAATTGTTGTCTCACTGCTATTTTTGTCCTCTTCTTGGGGCTTTTCTGATATTTTAAGCTCGGTTTCTTGGAATCGTCTGTTCTAGCTTTTTGCCTGCTCATTTTTAATTTATGGTTTAATTATTCCACTCTCCTCTTCAGTATTTTTTGTCTTGGCTTAAGCTTAGCCAGTGTAATTTTATTACGGCAAACATAATTTATCTGTAATTACGGAGCTCTGTGGTGCCTCCTGAAATGCTTCCTGCTGGAAGGAGACACCGAGCATTTTATTGGGAGGCACTGAACGGAATACTGACAACACAACATAGATTGTATTGCAAAATCGATTCCTTAGGGAAGGTTAGGAATCGAGGAAGGGCACTGACATGCAGAAGATGGCAGCTAATAGAAATGCGTGATGGTACACATTCCGTGTGCCTGCAGAAATGAGGTTTTGATACCTGTTGCTTGGTGGGAGATGGGTAACGCGCCAGAGACTTCTGGCTCCTTTCAGACTAAGCAGGAAGATGCAAGCACCTTTACAATAGTGAAGGTGTACCTTCAGGTAAAGTTGCCTCTGCCTTGCAAGGCTTTCTTTCAGTCTCAGCATTCCAAACCGTGCAGCTTTCTGGCATCAGGCTGGTGAAGCAGTAAAGCCCTCGCTGACTTTGCAGTGTGATCAATGAAGTTGAATTTGCAGGTCTCCATGGCTCGGCCTGCTGGCCTCCAAGTGCTGGGCACATACAGGATCGAGGCCCTAAAGTAGCATAACAGAAATCAAATAATTGTTGGAGTTAATAGCATACACTTAGTACAAATTAGAGCTCTGAAGAAAATTACCCTGTAGCGTCTTTTTCTCTCTCAGCTACACCATACGAAGAATGTGTTGTAACTACCCAAATGAATAATTGTGCTAGGGCTGAATGTGTGATTTACATTCTTAAACAAAACCAGAGCCATCCCTCAGCTTTAAATGCACATCAGGTATTTGCGCAGGCCGCACAGAGCCAGCTGCAGTTGGGCAGCTAGCAGCGCGGTTCCCTCCCAGCTCCTCCAGGACAGAGCTGTGTGCTCTGCTTCCCACGGCTGCTGCCAGCTGCTCTTCCCTCAGGAGCTTTCTGCCTCTTCACTTACCTCAGATCTGCTGCTTGCTTCTTTTACTGCGTGCAGATCTCTGAAATGCTGGGGTCTGAGGCCCAAAACTGCTGCTGGAATTCCCATAGTGTGAAGTGACATCTGAAGTTGAAGAGCATTCTAAATATACAGTGTACATTTGATTGACTATTTTTTTGTTGCTTAACCTTTTCAAACTCTACATTTCCTGTATTGAATGCATTGCGATACCTGAAATGCTTTTTTTCTAGGCAAACTTTATGAAGAACTGAAGTAAATTTTAGCCTTTCCAGTAAGTAGAAACCAACAAAAGCACTTCATACCTAGAAGTGCTTCCTTTTCATCCTAGGTTTGTCATTTCACTGGGGACCAAGGAAGTTGGTAAACACTTTTGGAATTAAACGAAAGAAGAATTGGATGGAAACAAGAAAATTTGCATAGCCTAGTAGAGATAGCTGTTAACTTCATTACATGTTCAATAGATATCTAAAAGCAACCAGGCAAGCAAGACAACTGGAATACACACGTCTTAATGATTGGTCCTTAATGTGTAAGACAACAGCTTTACAGAGAGAATTTAATTCATTACTTAGCATTAACAAATAACTTTTTAAAAGTCACTGCTCCTGAAGGAAAAACAAATATCTGATTCATTGTCGTAAGTGGCTTTTAGAATTTCTTACTGCGTAGGGTAACAAATAAGATGGAGAACGGTTTGCACTAGTCTGTTAGAAAGGAATGTGCTTTGAATACACATCTCTCTTAATAATCTGTGCCTACCTATGAAGGAAAGCGTAATAAACTCTTATCTTCTGAGTGACTGGATTATCTTCAGCTTTAAATGATGTTTTGCTGTCAAAGATGTGATGTCTCAATACTTTTCATCTTTGAAGAATTCTGATTTTTTTTCCCCCCCTCATAAGCTATAAAAACTGTCAGTCTGGAACTGCTGTATTTCAGAGGAATTGCAAACTCTGTAAGTAATGCTGATAATCGAGAGTACAGTAGTAAACTCAGGATGCATCTCAATAATACATCAGTTTTGATGGTAATAATGTCTACTTTTTCAGCCATTACTTTAAAGCATGAATTATATATTTACAGATATATGGAGTTTGGGGGTCATCCTCTTTATGTTGGTGTGTGGACAACCACCATTTCAAGAAGCAAATGACAGCGAAACTCTGACTATGATAATGGACTGCAAATACACGGTGCCACCTCACGTGTCCAAAGAATGTAAAGAGTAAGTAGAGTACCCAAGCATTGAAAGCACTCATAGAAGTGGATTTTCACTGTCTCTGAGAGTCCTCATGCAGTTTATTAGCGTGGAAATATTCTTTGCTAGCTACTTGAGTTCTTCCTTAGTTCTTAGTATTTCCTCATGTCGACTGAGTATCTTGGGCAGCAGTACAGCATCTTTTTATTTCCTATACTTAGAAAAGGTTACTCCTATGATTTTTTTTGCCAGTAGGCTTTTCCAGCATTTGTGAAATTGTGTCTTTATTCATCTGTCATCCATTTTATAAATGATCAGAGAAGATCATCAGAGAAGCCCTCACTCAGGGCTTGACTGGATTTGGCCACTGTTCTTGCTGGGCAAATTGCAAAGTGTTGCTCGGAGTACTTTGTGGCAGGAGTGAAAAAGGTAATGGTCTCTCTAGATTCCAGTTCGGAATACAAGGTGGCAAAGCCCAAGAATATCACAGCAAGCTTTGCTTATCTCCTACTGAAATGGAAGCTCCAACATTCTAGGCAATCACAGGAGAAAAATCATCTATCTGCAAAATGCCATATGCTGCTTGAAAATCATGACTCATTTTGATGTGATGCTTTTCTGCAGTATTCACTGCTGCTTTTTTATTTTTTATATGTTCTAATATTGGCCCATACAGTAAAGATCAATTAATGACATCATCAGTTCTTTTACTATATGTCAGAGTCATAAGACTAGAGGAACATCTAAGATTCTGTTCCTTGACAGAGAAGGAAATTTGTTATAACTGTGGTCAAAATGACCATTACGCTCTTAACCTGTGCAGTCCAGGAATGCATAACACAACATGATAACGAGTTTTCATGTCTTATAGTGTCTAGCATTTCTGGTATGGAAAAGCTCCTATCAGGGCTCTCAGCAACTTGAAGAGATTTACAAACGAGAAGAAGTTTAAAATACCAGATGGGAAGAGTTTGAAATCTCTTATTAGTGAATTCTGTCAGAAAGGATCATAGAATGGCCTGGGTTGAAAAGGACCACAATGATCATTGAGTTTCAACCCCCCTGCTATGTGCAGGGTCACCAGCCACCAGACCAGGCTGCCCAGAGCCACATCCAGCCTGGCCTCCAGTGAATCTTGTGAAATGTTGCACGTGGTGCTTGGGCCATGAAATTTCCTGTTTTTTGGATCCTTTTGCTTAATATACTGGCTAATGCTAATCTGCTTAAAGGCCCAAGTAGATCTGCTTTCTGCATGTGGCACTCTGTGATGTATTGCCAGTTACCTAAGTGCTCTGAAGGTTAGGTTTACTTAGGGAAATGGCTCTGAAACTGCCTAAACCATCTGCTTTAAGTGAAAACATTCTTGATGTTTTGGGATGCATAAGAAAGCCTGAAGCAGGAGGGCACTTGTGGTGCATTTATGATGCACTTTACTACCTTACTGCTGGTGTTTTACTAGGGCATTAAAAAGAGTCAGATGAATTGCATAGTTAGTTCTGTGTGTGTTCAAATAGTAATACAAGTGACATCTCACCTGGATAACTTCCCAGTAGAGACAGAGTTCACGGAGGTGACGGTCATCTTTTCCTGCTTACTTTAGGAATCTATGCACTGCCCTACCAGCACTTGCAAACGTTCAGCGTCAACCTGTTAGTATGTTTGTTACTTCATCCTTGATGTTGTTTTTAAGGGTGGAAGAGGTCACTGTCTTTTCACAGATGCAGAAGAATTAAATGTCTTACAGGCGATCTCAGAATAGAACATTTCTGCTTATTTTGCCACTCTACAATCTTGTTGACAGCAGCAATGGTAGGAAATTATATTTCTATTATTGTACAGACCAGCCTGTAGGCCATCTGTCACAGCTGCCATACAAACACTAAAAAAAACAAACAACAGCAAATCAGATGTTAGGAATCTAAGCATAGCAAATGAAAACTGTAGTGCTTATGGTATTTGTAGTTTTTAATAAATAAATAGTTTCAGCTCAGCAATATTTGGAACTTGTTTGAGAATAATTTCTTACCACACTGCTTACGTAGAGACTTCTGAGGACCTATTTGGGCTGACAGCAAAGTTCTTTCCAGTGCTGCTGTTAGAATGGTTGTCTTTTAAACATGCAAGTGCATTTTGTTTAGATCTGTTTTTTGTTTACAGTCTGATTACACGGATGCTGCAGAGAGATCCGAAGCGAAGGGCATCTTTGGAAGAGATTGAGAACCATGCGTGGCTCCAAGGAGTTGACCCTTCCCCTGCAACAAAGTACAACATTCCTCTTGTGTCATACAAAAATCTGTCCGAGGAGGAACACAACAGCATAATACAGCGCATGGTTCTTGGTGACATTGCAGACCGAGACACTATAGTGGAGTAAGTTCTCTGTCTCCTACATGAAGTGCATTTTGTGCCATCATACGAGATACAACGCTGGTGACCTGGGTGTTTCAGTGTTGAAGTGTCAAGCCATTCAGTTGTCAAATGAAGTGTTACAATCTTGCTCTCTGAGAGCATTCTAGGATGACAAGTACTGACATGGATCCAGTTTTAGGCAAAACTTCAAGGAGGTGTTTTGGAACAGTGTTCGTTTCCTGCAACACTTTGCAATCTTAAGCAAATTTGCTTTGAAATCCATGCTTTGACTTGTGCTACCTATCCATACTAGTTATGCCTGTCCGCATGCATATGTAGAGGTGATAAATTCTAACATTTTTCCTTCAGTATGCTGGCATATACGTGGATCTTTGTAATTCAAAGTACTATTTCTTATGTCTGTGTAATGCAAAATCGTCATTGCCACTGAGTGAGCATACTAGAAAGCTGCATAGTTTCTTCTAACAGATTAAAAACCCCAACTCTTCACAATATTCAATGCATTGAAAGAGGGTGTAGCTGTTTTTTTCTATTTGTTCATGGTTGACCTGGAAAAAACTCTTAAAACCTTAACACTGGGGGGAGGGGGAGAAAAATAAAAGAGATAACAAAACAGCAGGGTCACTACTTATGTTTTTAGCTGCTGGTGTCCTTTATGTTGGGATTAGGAGTATAATGTTATTGTGAAGTTAACGTGACAGCTGTAAGATAATGGAAGTTTTTCATCTGGTTGCTACATAAGTGAGTGTTGGAACGTTGTGTATATGCCAATGGGAAAGCCTGCTGCTGGTGCATAACATGAACAAAATACAGTTTTATTCTTTCAAGTACGGTCAGCAAAGGAAGAATTAATTTCTTTTTGAATGGCACTCTAAAAATATTCTCATTCACCTAAAGTGAAATGGTTAGTCCTGTTGGCTCTTTATTTTTAGGAAGACCAAGACAATTGTCAGGGTATCAGAAAGACACAGTTGTGTTTGCCAGGTGCTGTGCCTAAGAAATACAGCAAGATGTGCAAACTGCACGTCCCGTTCTTAGAAGCCACTGATGTACGGTTTGTTTCTTGTTCTGTTGTTTCCCTAGGGCACTGGAAACTAACAAATACAATCACATCACTGCTACGTACTTCTTACTGGCTGAGAGGATTCTGCGAGAAAAACAGGAGAAAGAAATTCAGACCAGATCTGCAAGCCCTAGCAACATCAAAGCGCAGTTCAGGTAAGAATTAGAGAAGGTAAATTTTTTCTTCTTTTTTAAATTTAGTGTCTTCTTGAATTGTTCAAGTACTACTTTTATAAAGCTGTAACGTGCTTATTTACTGCCAGTTTTAAGTGGGTTCAAATAAAGTGCTGTGGGCAATTGAGAAGCTGTTCATGAATTAGTTACCAGTATTCTCAATTTCTACTGTTTTTAGAAGATGGGTAAAGAATTTGAAGTCTGCACATGAAGCAATACCTGCTGGGAACAGACATGTTCGTTGACCATCAGGTCCTCATAGAAAGTCTGTGCAATATCCTTGGGAGGAAAAAAATCAGTTGCATTGTCCTTAAATGTGATGGGGAGTTACTTAGAGATGAGAAATTACTTGAATTTGACGTTAAGGAGTAGTTGTTAGCTTTTGGTTCTGTAAATCAGGATTAGAGCAAACTTCTTCAGGTTGTTCTGTTCTTTTTAATACAGTTAGTTTGATATGGCTGTTATATAAGAAAAATGGTTGAAAACTTCAGTCATCCATTTAAAATTACTGCCATAGAATTCTTAGTTTGACAAAAAGCACCTTGGAGTTTTCAAAGCTTCAGTTTGTTGACAGGCAGCAAAGCAAAGGGAGGAGAGGAGAATTGTGCCATGTAATTAGTACTGATGTGTTCAACCAGTCCACTTGCTGTGCAGGCCACTATCACAGCATCACATTTCCAGTTACAGAAGCATATGCTTATGTTGTGAGTAGTTTCCAGTTGCACATTGATTCTGGGGCATATGAGTTTTGAACAGCTATGTTTCTTAAATGCTTTCTTTTTAGTTTGCTGGGTAAGTGTTAGAATACAACAAGAATCCTTCTGCTGTTAAGAAAAATCATTACTGGCCCATCTTGACAACCTTTCCAGTGAAGATGGAGGTGGTACTGAGGCTTTTCCATTAATTTCTGCCCTCTGATCTCCAGTCTTTTCAGAAAGTTGCCTTATGACTTAGGTAAAATGTTATTGATAATCACTGTTAGCAGTAATAGCAGTTGTTGGTAGCTAATCTCTTAGTGAGAGAAGAACACGAAATGCTTCAGTTGCTACTGTCCTTCAGGTTTGTTAATGTAGCAAGGAAAAGACAAGACTGGTCATTCATGCTAGAGGGCTTTTTGTGCAACTTTTCTTGCAGTGAAAGTCATATAAGAGTGGCAGAAGAGCATGAATACTGTGATTCCCTTCTGCTGCATATCTATATTTTACTTGGACTAATTGATAGAAGGTACTATCATCTCAAATACAATCTTAACAAAAAAAAAACAAAAGGAGTGCTTGTTACAAATTAAAGGTAAGGGCAGTGGAAAACAGGTTCTAGATGCATCATCTGCCTTGATTGTGACCTTGGATTTAGGCTGAAAGTTTTAGGACTTAGATGAATCACTTCTGAATATCCTTCCATCTACCTGAATAACAAGTTGTTTTAGAATCTTACAGTGGCTATTATCAGAATCTTTGTTGTCTGGAGATTGTGTGCTAGATTACACTGAAATCTAGTTGCTGCACAGAAGGGTCATCTCTCTCTGTCTGCTCACGTAAGAAACATTATCTGATGTGGCATGGTGACAAGTGCTTTAGAAGAATTATTGCTGCAAGTACAGGTTTTAATCTACAGAAACTTAACTGGTCTAAGGCTTGGTGTTACAGAGCTTACCTCTTTTCAAGGTCACGACTGTATGCCTTTTGCTCTGCACTTCTCTCTGTCCTCTTACGTCCATCAATCTCTTTTACAAGAAATTCAATTAGAACATCAAATGTGTCTTATAGTAAGTATAAGCTGTGAAACTTATAAACTGTAAATTAGAGGAAAGCTTTGGAGTTCAAATGAGTTCTAAACCTACAAAGTCTGCTTTTAAATTGTTTTTTTCATTGTATCAGTATCACTTTTTCTGTAAAACAGCTGCTCCAATTAGATGAGGAACTGGGACACATAGATTTATTGAATCTGAATCTTGGTATGAGTTTGTAATGTTGAATAGAGTAGTTAAAGTCTGTGTTAATAGCGTGAATTTTCTTTGCATGACAAGCAGATCCACAGTAATCGATGAACTCTTGCCATTAATAATTCCAGGTAGCATTCAAGTTACTTCTTTTCTCCATGGTGGTTCTAAATGGAAAGTATCTAGAGTGATCTTTTGGAAAGGACAACGGTGATGCATTAATTTCATTTTGAGAGTTTAGAAGATGTAAAAGTTAAACATGAATAACTCACAATTTGGAGTTTTCCTTCTGGCCCACTCACCTTGGACCTACTGGACACAATGTGGAGGAAGACAGGGAGGTAAACGTGGGCTACTATGTGAGATACACGTAGTATTGGAGGCTTGCTGATGTGACTTCCCTCTTCAAGAAGGGCTGTAATGAGGATCTGGGGAACCACAGGCCTGTCAGCCTGATCTTGGTACCAGGGAAAGTTACAGAACAAATTAGCTTGGATGAGATCACACGACGTGTGAGTGGCATCCCGGGGATCGGGCCCAGCCAGCACGGGTTCATGAAAGGCAGGCTGTGTTTGACCAACCTCATCTCCATCTGCAACTGGGTGACCAGCCTGGTGGATGAGGGGAATGTTGAGCAAATACAGTTCTAACACAGATGCATCTATTAACTCTAAACACTTGAACACAATGAGAATAGCTGGTGGTCACCCTGATCTGAAACTTTTCTGCTTCCTCTCTGCTTTCCAGCCATACTTTGTTTCTTACTTGGGCTGGAGAGTTTTGCAGCCCCTTCTGGTGGCATGCCCCTAAGTAAGGTTGGCAGTACCTTGTAATGTCATCCATACATGAGCAGAAGTCTCTTTCCACTGCTTCTCGTGTGTTGTGCTAGATTATGTTAGCTAATGTAAAATCACATGATGAGGAAACTGCTTTTAACTTCAAGATAACTTTTTGAGAAGATAGAAGAAAACTCTTACTCTGTACAAGGAATGTGGAGCTTATGCGCAGTCACTGCTAAGGTGGTGAGTTCTTTTGGATCAGTCTTCAAAATACAGGTAGAGAGGAAGGACTGTCAGTCTTTGTTCTTAATTTATTGTGTATGTGATGGGAAAATTACATCTCCCAAATGCAAAGTAAAATATAAACTGTTAGTCACCAGCTGCTGATGGTAAACCTGATTTACTCTCAACTGTCACTTCAATTTGTTTTGAGACACTCATGCAGTTTGAACTTTGATTATGCTAGTTTATTAAGGAATCTGAATTCTGAATTTACGGAACTGCAGTATTCCTGTTGTTGAGGTAAGGTCAAATAAATGTGTATGACCTTGATGCATATGTTTGAAATTAAACGTGATTATTGTGGAACAGAGCTTAGTCTGAGTGAAACTTACTTAAATAGGAGAATGTTCCTTCTGACTTTGCTTTTCAGCCTCGCTTGTGTTGATTTTAACCTGATTTTTGTAGTAAGAGTACTGGGGAAAAAAGTAACAAAAGCTTCAGAATATTCTAAACCACTTTTACTCATCTTGTACCTGAACCTTCTTGCATCTCTCCTCCGTGGCATTGGTGTTTCTATGCCTCCTTCAGATTATTGGAAAGGCAATTATTTAAAGCTTTGTGTTGCTTACCTCATTTTCTGAGTAGTGAATTTTTTTAAGATTCCTTTTGACAGAAAACAACAACATTTCTAAACGATGCTTTTGTAAATATGACATTCCTTTCAAGTAACAGCATTTCCAAAGGAATGCACATCTTGAGAACGTTTTTTCTCTGTTACTCAGTACTGCCCTTTACAAATACACAACTCAGGCAATCTTTGTGGCAGTTCTTAAGCTCCTCTTGTATAGGTCTCAAACTTGCTTGTGTGTTTTGAGATGGTCACCAAGATGTGACTTTTATCTTTTGTACTTCTGTAGGCAATCATGGCCAACAAAAATCGATGTACCCCAGGATCTGGAGGATGACCTTACAGCTTCTCCTCTCTCCCATGCAACTGTTCCTCAGTCTCCAGCTCGCACGGCAGAAAACGTTCTCAATGGACACAGAAGCAAGGCTGCTGGTGAGTCAGCAAAGAAAGAAGAGATCCCTGAGTTAGCAGGGCCAGCACTCTCGGTAGTTCCAGCAGTGAGCTTAAAACCCACTACGAGCGGCCGGAAGTGCTTGTTCAGAGTAGAAGAAGATGAAGAGGAGGATGAAGAGGACAAGAAGCCTATTTCTCTTTCTACTCAAGTTGTTCTGCGCCGTAAGCCTTCGGTTACAAACCGACTGACTTCACGAAAGAGCGCCCCAGTCCTCAATCAGATCTTTGAGGAAGGAGAGTCGGATGATGAGTTTGACATGGACGAGAACTTACCCCCAAAGCTCAGCAGGTTAAAAATGAACATCGCTTCGCCTAGCACGGTGCACAAGCGCTACCACAGGAGGAAAAGCCAGGGCCGTGGCTCTAGTTGCAGTAGCTCAGAAACAAGTGACGATGACTCGGAAAGCAGGAGGCGCCTCGATAAGGATAGTGGGTTTACTTACTCGTGGCACAGGCGGGATAGCAGCGAGGGGCCGCCTGGCAGCCAAGGAGACGGTGGTGGACAAAGCAAACCAAGTAACGCGAATGGAGGAGTGGACAAAACGAGCCCAGGTGGTGATAGCAAAGGTGGGGGAAGTCCCTCCAGCAACTCCAGCGGCAGCACCAACAACACTTCAGGCTCCACTCGTCGATGCGCCGGATCTGGAAACTCAATGCAGTTATCATCTAGAAGTGCAGGGGAACTGGTCGAAAGCCTGAAGTTAATGAGCCTTTGCCTGGGTTCACAGATTCACGGCAGCACTAAATACATTATTGATCCTCAAAACAATCTGACATTCTCCAGTGTAAAAGTACAGGAGAAATCATCGTGGAAAATGTGTATAAGTTCCAGTGGAAGTGCCAACCAGGCTTCTTCGTTGGGCAGCCTAAAGTTCTTTTCTGACCAGATATCAGACACAGCAAATGAATTGGAACGGCTAAAGAACAGGAACTTGAAAAATAACGTGCTACAACTACCTCTCTGTGAAAAGACGATATCTGTGAATATTCAGCGGAACCCAAAGGAGGGCCTGCTGTGTACCTCCAGTCAGACCAGTTGTTGTCATGTCATTTGACAGCAGCCTGACTTTAATAGCTTGATCTATTTGACCGCATCTTTCTTCCTGTTCAGAGCTGTGAACGCCTTGTCACTGAACCCCCTTTTGTTGTCTTAAGATTTTTAAGTGGGCTTTGAGCAGTTATTTATTACGTTTTAATTTTGTGTTTGCTTGATGATATGACAATGCATGGTCTTTGCATGCTGCTAGCCATTATATTTTTTTCGACGAAACAGAATATTTTGTTGTGTAGTTTTTACATTTATAATTTTACTATGGAAGATCTGGATTAAATTAAAATGACTATCTGGATCCTAATGTAAATGGAGCACTTAGAAGTTTCACGTTCTGCACTTAAACTAGAGAGAGAGGAGCTTTTGTTCACTTGTGAAATGTTAATTCTTGTTCTGACCTTCTGTGATATCTAAAATCTGTGATATGTGGCATACTTCTATGTGTCTGAAACAGAACCAAAGCAATAATGTTTTGATGCTGAAAACTCTTCAGGGAGCTTTCAGATGTTCCAAGGCTTGTACAAAGCAAAGATGCACTGAAAATTAGCGATCTTGAAATATGAGTTTAAACCCATACCTATTTGTCTTAAGTTACGAAGTGGATAAAGTTGTGGCTCAAAAATCAGAGTGAAAAGATCTCGTTTTGCTAGAGGCAGTTGCGTTGCATCGTTGGGTTGGGTTGGTTTTTTTTGTTTTGTTTTAAAGAAGCAAGTAGATTTGTAAGGCAGCTTTTTTCCCATAGAAATATGTTAATATTACAAGCAGACAATCTTTTTTAATATAACAGAGGTAAATATAACAGAGGCCTACTTCTGAGGTTTTACGTGCTAACTGAAAATAAACTATTTGTATGAATTGCTTTCATTATTAGTATATCATGACACTTAACATTTTAGGTTTTTACCTTGTGAGCCTTCCTCCCTGTTCTCTCCCAGCCTCCTGGAGATTTCAAAAGGCAATAAGGGATGAAAAACCTTTAATTGGATTCAAGTTGACGTAGTTCCTGTCACTTACGTTTTTCTGATTATCAAATCAGGCTCTTGTACGACTTAAAGTACTGCTGTTTGCCCATACGCACGCCCCTTATTTTCCCTCAGTTACATGCTTTTTGTCAATGTTGGTGAAAATAGCATATAGGAAAGTATTTATTTTACAACTATTTGCCTTTCTGTTGGGTTTCTCATAGCCACGGCGAGGTCTTGTTTTAGAGTATTTGTGTACCAGTGGGTGCATTTGACAAGAGAAGTGGAATTTACTTGTGGAATTTTATTATCTAGATAAAAATATATTGCGGATTCCTGGTTTGGGGAAGGGCGAGAATGTTTTATTTTTTCATGCTGTGCACTGGGTCTTCTGAGCAATGCTAATCAAACCGGTGGTGTTATGTAGCAGCGCCCTGGCCAGACGTTGGATGTCTGAGAGGAGTTTACACTGTTGAGCATCTTGTCACGTTGCAGAATGGCCAATACAATGTATTTCGTGTCTGCTGTAGAGTGAGTAGAGCACCAAAGAACTGCGTTACACTTGGTTGTAATTTCTACAGTTGATGACAGCTCTTCTCAGTTAGTAAAAGACTTTACTAAGAGAACCTGAATTGCGCGGGGTTTCCCGCCAGGGATTTCACATTCTGCTTCCTAAACAAGGATGTGATGACGAGTATTTTACTTTTAAGTAAGTTTTAGGAGAGTTGCAGTTTAGTCAGTGTGGTATTTATAAATGAAAAACTGCAAGAAGAGATGTGTGGGTGAAGCCATAGAACATATTTGCTGACGTTTTTTGAGCAGGGATCTTCTAAAGGGCCAGAAATAAGATGTGTGGTTCACGGACAGTGAGCGTAACATCGAAGTAGGAGGAAAAGTTTATAAAGGGCATTGGCAATAAACTTATTTGTTGCAGCTTTTTTCCAAGCATTGTAAATACTCTTTCCTGATATTATGTACAGCCTTGGAATGGCACCTTTTAACTAACCCCAGGTGTATTTTGTTTCCCATGTTTTTATATACAAATGTATATATGGTGCTCACTTTAGAACAGCAGTGTTGATCATTTATGCTGCATAGTTGTATTATAGCCTTACTAGTTGTGTGTGGTTGGTTGACCTCTGGGCGTACAGCTGTTAGTCTGAGTGGCGTCCCTTATCCATCTGTTGATAGGTGAATGACTGTGCATGTGGTGTCGTTGTATTATGTCGTCACGTAGAAGGAAGGGCGAGAAGAACCACTACATTAAGATACTATTGGACCAAACTATTACTTAGAGCGAGTAAACAGTTCCCTGTACCCCTTAACGTGTCTTTGAAAGTTGCATATAGTTACAGTAGTGTATAAATTAAATATTGTGCAAAAACAATTAGTCTTGTATTTTTCTGTATGTGTGTATATATTATATATAAAATAATGTACCTCTAGCAACTTCATCTGTATTTAAGATGTGACAATCTTGACACAGGATTTTAAAAGTAGCAGTATAAATAAGCAGAATTAACAAACAAATATAAAAATTTCTCACCAAGAAAGAATTTGCGTGTGTGTGTGTGAGCGTGTGTTAAGAGGGTACAGAAATAGCAGCTGATCTTATTGCTTCCAGCAGTGTTTGGCTTTTTCATTGTATAAAACTTCATGATGTGTGACAGACATGGAAAATCCAGTTAATAAAAGTACTATCTTGACTGATGCATAACCTATACTGTGCATGTCAGTGCAGTTTGTTACTCCCAGTGCTCAGTGTGTAAGGGCAGCGCACACGCTGCTGATCTCCCTGCACTGCAGGCTTGACTTTCAGAGCAGTGCGTGCTGGGAATGAATTCTGGCAGCAGACACTGGACAGTCACTTCAGCATCACCCCCTCAGGGTCTCACGTAGTAATATACAAAAGCAGAAGACAGCAGGAAGGGAAGCTGGCACACACCTTTGTGCGTGGCTGTACGTTTATTTGCAGGGTTTTTTGTTAACACACTTCTCTTCTCTTGCAGTTATAAATTGCTTACTTGGGCTTATAGAGTGTCATAATTAAGCAGAAAGCTACTTGAGCAGATGCCAAAGGGGAAGATAGCTGTTTGTTTCCTCGGCAGAACTTCAACATGATCTAAGGAGTTGAGTGTTTGGTGAACTTTACAGCACCTAGAGACCATCTGTGATGATCCTGTCCTACTCATTTTCTTGGCCAACCTAGGGCAGCTGGCTGGTGCTCTTCTCTCTGCATCCGGAAGCTGTGCAGTACAGAACACAGAGGGTTTCAAAGTCTCAGATAAAATATTTGTTGTGTGTTCATCAGAGACCAGCCTTAGCCATGCACACATCCATGACAGTTGGGAGTGACGTTGTGTCCAGCTTGCTGGCAGCTGTTAGAAATAAGGTGCTTCACTTGTCTCAGGTTTGTCTTGTTAGATAAAATAATTGATTGCGTATCAGTTTGCCATGTCTGTAGGCAGCCTGTTAACTGATCTGCTTGTAAAAAAGTATGTGAGCAGAAGTTTCAGCAGGGCATTGTACATGCCTTTAATCCAGCCTTTAATCCAGCCTTAACCCAGAACTGTTCTTCTCTGCAATATAGAACAGTAAGAGTGAAAAACAACCAAAAAGTGAGTGTCAGGGCTTGCTGGTTTTGTGCAGAGAAAGGAGGTAAGGTGCAGCACTGTCTGAATGTAGGCAGTCACAGGTAGCGGGCAGCCAGGAGCTAATGCTGCTTATTTTCTGCAACTGCTTCACAGTGTACTGCATGCAACGGAGTCCCATGTTGCAGTGTTTAGGCTGCCATGTGCTGGTAAACATCTGCTCTTGAACACTTGGTCTAAAATGAAGTACGTCAGTACAGAACTGCAATGCCTAAGCTGAAATACAGGCACAGGCTGTCAATGTCATCACTTAAAAACCACTGTGCCTTACCACGTAGGGAGTCGATCAACACTTCTTTTGCTTTGTTTTCAAGATACTGTGAAAAGCATTTCAGGTTGAGGGGAGGAGTAGCTGAGCCACTAAGCAGCACAGCTGGCTTGTGCTTCCAAACTGCTCTGCCAGTTTTGCCTGCAAGTGCCTGATTGCTGTCTGTATCTGTCTGTGCATGTAACCACTAACAGATTCCTCTCTGGTGACTCAGGAAAGAACTGTGTAAGCAATACCCCATGAGAGGAGAGAGAGGCTGGGCATCCCAGCGTGCCAGGCTCCATCTCTAACAGTATGGCAGGATGACTGGTGCTGCCAGGGCTCCAGAACCCTCTGTGCTCAGCTGGAAGAATCCCCACGTACTGATTTCCAGGTCAGGGTAAGTGAGGGCTTGGTGAGTTAACTGTGATGTAACAAAATCATAACCAGAGATGCTCAATGCTGTGTGACCATACCACATTATTAGGGATGGATGGCATTCAACAGGCCCTGTACTATCTGCTCCAAAAGTTATGTTCATCTCTGGTGCCTTTAAAAAAGTTGTGGCTGAGAATGTGCTCTATCAAATTCCATCATTGTGCTCTTTGTATCTGCTGTAGTTTCCATGGAAATAAATAGGAGGCATTACTTTTAAAGCAAGCTACATAATTGTATGCAATTAGTGTACCACTGCTTTATGATGAGCTATCTGTGTGAGGATGTACCCATAGGCTTTGGTGGCTGTGACCACTGCTAGGGAACATCTCAAGTCTGGTCAATGCAAAATGTGGAGGTAGCAGCAGCGACCTCTGCCTCAGCAGAGGAAAATGCAACCCATCTCTCTCTCCCCTCCTGTTTTTAAGAGAAGGCAAACAATTGTGACTTATTAACTTGTATTTGCAGACATCTTTCATCAAGAGCAAATAAAGGAATGTGCCAGCCAGTTATACCAAACTTGGCTGGCAGACTGGAATGTCCTCAGGTGACTGAAAAATGACAGAAGACAGCTGAGGCACCATGACAACCTTTCCAATGGTACAGTTGATACGAGTAAATCAGAGCAGAGCTGTCTGTCACTGATGCTAGATTATTGCTTGCGGTACAAGGTGTTTGAGTAGTAACATCTTAACATAACCATACTTGGGCCAGCTTGAGCATGACTCATTTGTTTGTCTAGTTGGGCTAAAGCCAAGTTACTCATCAAAGTCATGGAAGAACGTTGTTGTGAGGGAAGGCCAGGACACCTTCCTTAGGAGCAGTGTTTTTGTGGCTGCTTGAGTCTGCCTTGCTCTGATGCACAGGCTGGGACTATGCTTTTGAGGCTGAAACTGCAGTTGTTAAAGGTTAACTTACCTTGGCCTATTTGCATGGTACTGCAAAAGATACCAGTTTCTAAGAGCTGAGAACACTGAAATAGTGACTGATTGAATTCTACTATACCAGAAGGGGAAAAAAAAAAAAAAATCCATTGACTTTCCCAGGCAGTAGAATTGTCCTGTGAAAAAATACTTGGGGCTTTTTTAAGGGCTTCACTTGTCTCTTAGACATGCCATGTCAGGTCTCCCCAGCAGCTGATTTCTCTTGTGTAACATCTTCCTGCTCCTACTCTCTCTTGAGAAATACTGGACTGGAGGAGGTAAGGAGGGACAGAGCTGTTTTTCTCCGTAGGCACCAGCTGCCACATACACTCAGCTCCCTCAGTGCCTGAGGCCTGGGAGGAGTGCAGCTCAGCTGCAGGCCTGCAAGCCCAAAGGGCTGATGAGCTCTCTTACACTGAGCCAGGGATCACCTGCATCACATCTGCAATGACAGATGCCATCCTCACCACATTTTAAATCAAACCACAGGGTGCAGAGACCCATTCTCTGTAAGGTAGGAGGCCATCAGTCTTCAAGGCTGACAGTGAGTCACCAGGCTCTGCAGTTTCCACGTCCTGGACAAAAAGGGGGAAAGCCACTCCAAGGAAAGAGGGCTCAGGGAGTAGAAGGAAGGGTGCCTGCTGGCTTCACTTACTTGAACAGGGAAGTAGTGCACTGATGTTTTAACTCCTCAGTGCGAGGTAAGACCTAGTATCCCCAGATCAGAGTAGGTTAAACCACCCAGAATTGCTTGCCTGCTGAAATAGGAACTTTTCCTCTTCTACTGTCCTTATGTTTGCAGGAGGGGCTGCAGGCCAGCAATGCCAGTGAGAGGTCCTGAGTCAGCAGCCTGCCTGGGCCACATGCTGTGACCTGCAACTGAAACCATACCTGAGGAGAGAATTTTTTCCATCACCATTAATTTGTATTGCACTTCTCTGTAAAAACAGCTTTTTGTGCTGCTGCTGCTGCTAAGCAGCAATATAAAATTCAAGCTCTCTAGAAAGGACCAGGCTATTCACTCCCATGTGTTCTTCACCCCAACCAGGATTCTCCACCAAACCAAACCCATCCTTGATTTCTCCCCTCAGATTGAGACATGAGAGCTTCCACTCCCACAGACCTTGGGCATGCAGCTCCTCAGACTGGGAACAGACACATGTTACACAGCTTGCAAAAGGCAGTCACCAGTAAATACCTTATTTATTCTTTCTCATGTTTCAGGAGCACTTCAGTGACAAAATACAACACAGCACCATCCAGGTAATAGTTCTCCATGGACCAGAAATGCTCTATCATGATTTTAGCATCGCAGCTGCTGCACAGCGAGTTCTCCAGGGCAAACTACTCTCTACATTTGTGTAAATGACTGCCATACTCTTCACTCACACACTATGGAGGTTGTAGTGCCTCCACACCACCTGGCTGTAGGCCACCCAAGGAACATTATTACCCCCAGTCCTACATAACAATACTGAGCAGAAGTGAATGGATTTGCTCAAGGCAAGGATGGCTGCCGAGGTTGCTCACATCACCAGGTACCCAAACCTTACTACGTATTTTCCTATTAGGCTGCAGAAAACTGGAATAATGCAATAACTGTGAAGACAAGTACAAAGTCAGCTTTGGGTAAGCCATTACTTATTTCTTTCATTTGACTACAGCTGAGATGCAACCTGATTCCTTTTCCAACCAATCCTGAGGCATTTTCAAAGACAACCCATGCAGCTGCCATCACAAACCTGCCCACTTCATGCTCTGAAAGCAATACCAAGCAGAAGACAACTGGCTCCAGTCATAGCAGCTCTTACATCTCAAGAGGAACCATCCCCCAGGTTCCTCACTAACCATGCCGACCAGGCAGCAGGAGAAAAAACACTGAAATCTGCAATGGTAGCTTTTCTACACGCAGCCCCAGGAGCATCATGCATAGGTAAGGTACACCTACTGCAAATTCAGGTCACAGCTGGAGAATGGAGATTACCCATGGTTAGGGGAGATTTTGGTCCTGTAACTGCCAAAAAGCAATTAAATGTTATGAAAATGACTCTTTTGTGAAATGCGGGGGGGGGGATGAAGTGTTCGCTGGGCACCTGGGTACTGGTGTATCATGTTTACAATGCTGTGGTTCAAGGCCCAAGGAAGTGATGCCAAAAGCAAATGTAAACAAAAAAATGCATAAGTATCTGCTGCTTAATCTTCACAAGTTACTGCTCAGTACTGTTTCCTACTCAATGCTTTTACCCAACTTTGGGGAAGACTAACTCACACTTATTTGGGTAACCAGCACAGAGGAACGTGTCATGCACACCTTATATTTATATTTAGATATTTCTCAGGTTATGTCAGGAACAATCATATTTCATTACATAACGTAAATTAATTTGCTATGTGCAAAAAGTAGCTAATCAGCAGTGGTTGAATAAAATAGAGGACTAGTTAGTATCATCATAAAGGGACAAAGCAGGCCGTAGGCTCAGAGGCAGCGCACTGAATGAAGTGCTGCTCCACCTTTTTCTTTCTGTTTTCTTTTACAAGGTTACAGCTGAAGTCCCCGGGTGTCTTGGGGATGCTTATCCCAAGTTCTGTTTTCCATCAGTTGAAGTGCGGTGGGTCTGGAAGCCTTCAACCAGACCTTGTGCAGGCTGGACTGCTTTGTGTAGTGTCAGCTCCACAAACTGGTGTATGTAGGGGGGAAAAAAAAAGGAGTAGGAGAAATGATCTCTTTTTCACCGCCTCAAGTAGTGAGTATTTACCAGGTATCACAGAAGCAGGTGCCACGTGCAGACACACAGAATAGCATGGTGTGCACTCAGAGCTCCGCAGCATCATAAAGGCTCAAGGAGTGCCCACGTCCATGTGTGACTGCTGTAGTCATCTTTGTTCCTTCATGTTGACTCCTTCAGTGATTCAGCAGCGAGTTTCATTTGCTGTGGGAGAAGAGAAAAAAAGCACATAAACTCAGTGGTAGTGTGATGAATTAAACCAAACTTCATGTCAGAAACATGCTCATTGCATGGGATAATCTCAAACACAAAAGGAACTTAAAATATATTAATTATTCATTAATATAGCAAATATTTGTTATTACCAGTACAAGAACATGTCTGCTGCTCATGTGCTGTGCATAGTTCTAAAATACATTCTTTGGAGAGATAGAGGTGTTAGTTCACTATTAGATTGAGTTCCTCCTCTTATTCCTGTATTTGATTTCAGAGACTTGGCCCGGTAAATAGAGTCAACCCTAATTGTATCAAAAACATTCCAAAAGACGACTCCTCACAGTAAAACCCACCTACAGTTACTTTTGTTGCCATTTTTAATCTGCATTTCCAAGCTACCTATGAAAGAAGTATATTAATCTGCGATACAAATATTTATATGCTTCTCCATGGCAACAGCATAGAGAAAGCAAAATGGAATGGAATGCAGGAAGAGAGATTCCTCTTCTGCATCCTGATTCCCTTATTTGAATAAACGTCTGTGTAAAACTACAGCATCTTAATTAAAGTGACTTCAATCCCTAATGTAAAGACATGAGGGAGACACAGAACATAACCTAACTCAATTAATGACCTATCAAATTCAAACCCAATTCACCAATTTTAGAAACATTTTCTCAAATGCTGAGCATTGTTGGAATTAAATGAGGGACCGATCCTAAAGGGTCCCTTCCAACCCCAACCATTCTGTGACACGCAGAATGTGGAATAGGGCAAGGATGCTTCTCCTCCCTGATTTCTCCATTTTTCAACACAGTCTGGGGAAGAGCAACAACCAAGCATACAACTATTTCTGAGGACTAGATAAGAAATCTGGCCAAAAATAGTCAGAAGTGCAATGATTGCCATTGACTTCTGAAGGCCCTCCCAGCTTGCAGCTGGAATGCTCAGCCAGGAACCCTCTGCTGGTGTATTTTAAAGCTGCCTAAGGAACAAACATTTCTCAGATTGTTCAGTGAGAAGAAAAACTGAAAACAGCTCTGCTTACTGCCGCGCCACACGCAGCCCGGACACAAACAGTCCAAACGCAATCACTCCCATATTTCAGGAAATGAATCAGAGCAAAGTGAGAACCCCAAAAGCTGAATATTTCATTTTGACTTTAATCATTGCCATGACACCAAAACCTCTTTTGCAATCCCTGGCAGCAGCGGGCTCCCCTCAGAGAGACCTTGGTGAGCAATGCGGGGTGGCACAGCTCAGCACCACAACTCCCTGCCAAGTTAGGCATGAACAATTTTTTAATTTTCTCTTCTTTTACTCTGAGAGGAAACTTTTTTTTTTTTTTTTTAACTGGGAAAATATTTTTCTAGGACACCATCCAGGAAAGGGAGCATATTTTAATTGGCAAGGTCACCTTTCCCCCCCCGATGGTCCCAACAGGATTTTTTATGAATCTTCCATCAAAAAGACATTTAAACACCTAGGACAAGAGGAGTTAAGAACTCCTAACGCCTGCTTTTTAAACCTGCTTGATACATCACAGCAAAGGCAAACGAGTGCTGGGTAGGCAGTGGTAGAAGCCCAGAAGTGCTGCCTGGAGCTGTGCCGCTCAGCAGAGCCGGCCCTGCAAACAGCTCTTGGTTTACCACCAGCTGAGGATCCCCCACAACAGCTATGGGACCCCTGGCTCCATAGGCTCATGTTCAGCCTTCAGCAGCACTCTGTGCACCAGCATCTATAGTCATTGAGTTTGTCACAGAGGGTCTACAACCAATATCAATTTGTTGTAGATTCCAGAGCCTAGCTTAATCTAGATTTCTACTGGCGGGAATTGCTCTAGAAACTTCTCTGCTGTAATGCAGTATTTTGCTACTTCTATTTTAATTTCACGTTTGAATGCATGCATAATATAATTAAGCAGTACTTTTAGTAGAAATACCAAGACTCCTCAATGCAGCTTCACAAACAGGCTTCATCATTTACTTGGGCTTCACTACTTTTCAACACTACATTTCCTGAAAATACTTCAATAAAGCATCACAGATACCTTCTCACCACCAAAACAGTTGTGTACCAAACCTGGAAAGCAGGCTACTATCCTTGTGTGTTTATAACCAGAAACACCAAATAAATTTTAATACACTGAGTACAGATTGTTGTAGATCAGCGACAGATCCCTCTGCAACTAGAAGGTCTGTGGTGGTCCAGTTGTGCAGGTCAGAGAATCACAGAATCCCACAACGGCCTGGGTTGAAAAGGACCACAGTGGTCACCTACTTTCAACCCCCTGCTACATGCAGGTCGCCAACCAGCAGACCAGGCTGCCCAGAGCCACATCCAGCCTGGCCCTGAATGCCTCCAGGGATGGGGCATCCACAGCCTCCTTGGGCAACCTGTTCCAGTGCCTCACCACCTCTGTGCGAAAAATTTCCTCCTAATATTTAACCTAAATCACCCTTGCCTCAGTTTAAAACCATTCTCCCCTGTGCTATCACTATCCACCCTCATAAACAGCCGTTTCCCCTTCTGTTTATACACTCCCTTCAAGTATTGGAAGGCCACAATGAGGTCTCCCTGGAGCCCTCTCTTCTCCAAGCTGAACAAGCCCAGTTCCCTCAACCTTTCCTCATAGGTGCTCCAGGCCTCTGATCGCCTTAAGGTCAGAGCTGTGAACACCACTGCTGCACACAAGTTAAAGATAGAGCTGCCAACACAAGCTAACAGAAGCACACACTGACACCATAGATTTCTACTGAAGCAAAATCAGCCCAGCTGCAGGGCTGGTGCTCTGTTCCAGCCTCAGTGGACGTCAGGCCTGCTCCTGCGTGGCAGTGAGAACCCCCTCATTGTGAGCACCGTGAACACAGCCTGCAGGCAATGCACCCCTCCCCACCTCACGCTGGAGTTGCGCTTGGTGCTGGTGAGCCACCCCCTAACTACTCCTTTTACTGCTGTGTGTGGTAACACAAACACGATTTAACCACAGCCTGAGGAAAGCTATATATTTTTTTTTAATTTACAAATTAAAATAAATGAAAGCAGAATTTAATGACTCAGCAGCTTGGTGCTTTTCCAAATGTGCACCCAACATACGTGTTTGTATATATGAGCAGACACAAACAGGCATACAGCTAAATGTAAGAAGACAAAGGCAGATGTTTCTAATCAGCAGCTTTAACTTCTGGTTTTCCTGTACTGGCCATGCTGAATGGCTCACCCCTAACTCACCACTTAAAGAAAGTGCAGTGCTATGTGCCATCTTTCTCATTTTCTCCAAGCAATTATAAGAGAGCAGGATGAATACATATTATAATTACTCTTTCCTAGTGGTGTGCAGTTTTCAAAGACAGTTTCTTAGGCCTCAAGCTGTTTATGACAACTGTAAAAACGTTACCAACATGAGTAAGTACCAGCCAACTACAGACAAGGGAAATTAACACCTACTTCAAAACTCAGTCAGACTCTTCCACAACTAGTATTTTACTTTGTGCAGAAGAGTGAGAATGTATTCAATGGAAATTTGTTCCTGCTGAGCATTATGGCAGAAGGTTGCACTGTTTGCCGAGAGGCACCAATCTTCCCTCTGGGTTGTGGCAAGCAGCATTTGACTGCAGGGAATGGACCCATTTTCCTAAGATACAACCGCCACAAGAGGAGATGATAACTGAGGCTTGTTTACAGTAGCAATAAACACTTTTTAGTGCAGATTTTCGATAAGGAAGTGGAAGAATTTTAAATAGAAGATAACAGACAAAGAAAAAAGTGCTGAGCTGCACAGCTCTCATGAGAAGGACACTGAAAGCAATGAGAACAACTCACCTCTCTGAGGACTGAAAGGTTACTGACCCATACAAGGTTTATTCTTTTCTTTTGTAAAATGAAATACCATGGTCTAAACTCAGTACTGACCCTGCTTGTAGAATTCCTGAAGATCCTTCCAGGCTGAAAAGTTTTTATACTTATTCCTGCAGCACTGGTGACACAGGAGTATGTCTGCACCCTAGAAATCCTGAGTAGGAATCTACAACAAACAGCAGTAGAGAAGAGCAAAAAATAGTTCTCTCCCCTTTTACATATGCCTAATTCATGACAGAATACTCAGTACAAAAAGCTAGCATTAATGAAACAAGAAGTTTGCAAAATTAGTAAGTGCAGAGTCAGGGAAAACTTGGAGAATCACATAATACATGCCTTGGAGTACTGTGATTAATAGTGCTATAAGACATAGTAGACAAAGCAATGCCATTTGTAGATATTTTCAAGACTTTTTTCCTGATCTATTTCATACTGGCTTCAATTTTAAATTGCAGAGCATCAATTAATACTCATTATAGTATTCTCACTGTATTAGTCACCCTTTGCTGAATCTTATTTTAATTCAGTAGTGCAAAAATGTGGAGGTACTAATAGAAGAAAATACTACTACAACACTGTCTAATACAGCTTCAAAAGTATGGCTTATTTATTTTTCTGACCCTCAGCACATTTTAAATTCTATTAATTTATACATTTTAAAAATAATTTATTTCACTGTTTCTGAATATATGATTGCAAAATGAGAGATAAATATATAATGCTAAATGAGATATCTAAGTGCCTAAGGAGAACGTGTGCTCTGAATGTTTTCACAGTGTGACAGAACACCAGAGGAAGAGCTCTTCTCTTCAGGTTGTGCAATTCCCCCTCATCCAATAAGCAGCCAGTCAACAGATTTTGGAGTCAGATGTTTGACCAGCTCAGAAAGCAATTACACAGAAGCATCCAAAGTGACACAGCCTCAACCATGTTTCAGTTCAGAAGGACAGACTGTGGAGACTGGAGAGCAGTGTCTGTATTTCTCACATTTCCTGAACCTCCAGGTGGGAACTGAGGAAGCAAATTCCTCCACACTGTACGGGCAGACAAATCTGAGACAGCCTCATTTAAGACTGAATGTGTACAAGTCTATAGGACCAGATGACATGCACCCCAGGTGCTAAGGGAGC